AAAAGCTTGAGAAGGGACCACCAGCATATCTCACTTCGATTGCTGGTGGCTCACCAGACAGCTGCTCTTCCCTTGACTCAGTTCTTGCAACTCTTTGCAGTGCTAATTCAGCAACAAGGCCGAGCTTCAAATGTTTTGGCACGTCTGGGATATTCTGTTAATGACTGAAAAACATTTCCACAAAAGCACGTGGACAAAATTAAACATATTAAGAAAAAAAAACCCAGATGAGTTATCCGCTGCCAGCTGCTCCTGATTTCTGCTCTTGAAGAGGGACAGGAAACCTGGGTTGACAAAGTAGTCCCAGAGTACGTATTTCCACCATGACATCAGGCAAAGGTCCTCCAGGAATAACCTTCCTCTCCTAAAACACAGCCCAAACTTTTGCATAAATAATTGTTTTGAAACCCTCTGCCAAAACTCTCATTTAGCTATCATTACCTCCCACAGCACTTCTGCCGAATTCATTACCCACTTCCAGTCACTCCTGTTTATTCACGCTCACCGATTTATCCCCTCTTTCCCCTGCTATGTTTTTACTTTCCAACCTCACGCTTTAACTCGGAGACGTGAGGCGTGGCGAGCCATTAAGGACCCTTCTCCACGTACGGTGCCGGACTGCGCAGGCTACGGAAGCAACTGTACGAAAAGACAAATCTGGGTAACATCCCAGCGGGCAAATACCATTTTCTCTCCAGCTTCCTTACAGACAAACGTCAATCCTGGACCACGTCTCATGAGCGAAGGGTCATCAGGAGGAGGTCGTAGGTAGCACCATGGACCTGAGGTGCTATGTACACCTAAAAAAAAAGCGTCCTTACCGCACACCTGCGCTGTTACTTATCAGGGCCGTCCCTGCGCAACTGGAACTTGCAATTAATAGCTCAAATGCTGCTATTCAAATATGTAGTTGGTCATCTTTTTCTGTGGATAAAACCACATGGTAGTTAAAAAAAAAAAAAGATGATGATTGTAAGCTGTGCTCGAGAAGCACGGCCATGGAGGGAAAGCCAGACCTTCCTCCATGCACGAGCGTGGTTTCCAGCATAGCTGAAAGCACAGGCCACGCCAAACAGCTCTGGAAGCGGCTACCCCGGCCAGGACAACCGCGTCCTGTCAGCACTTCTACCTGGCAGAGACGCACCGCAGGCAGAACCACACCGAGTCCCGCAACGGCGCTGAAGGGCTCTGCCATCTTCTTTTCAAGCCAGCAACCGCTCATAGCGCTTATTTCCAAAACCTCAATAAACCAACGCCGGTCGCTCCCTTCCTTACGGCGCGTGCGGCCGCACGCTCACAAACGCGAGGGCAGCGCCGTCAGCGCGCCGTGGGCGGCTGC